CTCCTCCTAATTATTCCCTTGTCCAACACTGACGTTAGAGGAATAGAGGACAACACAACTTGAGGTCCTGATCCCTTCAGCCATTGTCCTAGGATCCTGAAATCTCTTTTAAGAAGAGAATAAATGAATTTAATAAATGAAGAGCATTTATTAAAACCTGAACATCATTATCATTATTGAGTGTTTCCCACGACAGTTAACCCTCCAGCATCACTGAATAGAGGCTGTGGAGCATTGTCTTTTGCACTGAGTTGCAATCATCCTGCCAGGAAGGAATAGCTGAGGTTACAGCTTTGGATAATGATCAGGGCATTTGGCATTGATCAGGGATAAAGGGATCTCCCTGAGTGAAAGAAGCCATATGCTTCCTGTACATGAAACAAATATTCATATTAACAATCCTCAAGAATTTTCTCATCAGCAAAATCTTTAAGTTCCCTTATATCTATACCAGATTGTATCTAAAAACTTAACATTAAAGTATTTTCAACATAGAGCTCTCTGAAGTGAAACTCAGCTGGTCTTAGAAGCTTAAAATTCAGATCATGTTCATGTCATGACTGACAAAAGCTGAGGAGCTTAACAGCAATCCAAAGTTGGTGGATCTGGTGCTTGGATATAGGTTACACTGAGTAAATGTTACTCTTCTTTCTCAAAATAGTTTTTCTCTTCGAGGAGTCTAGTGACAGCAGTTTTTTTTTATCAAACCAAACATTTGATAATTTAATTTTTATCAAACCCAAAACTCACAGCAAAATTGGAGATATAATAAAAAACATAAGTGAGCTAAAAAAAATGTGGCCCAAAATTTTAAATTTAATTCATATAGATTTACCTAGCTCTTCTATAATCCCTACGTGGGAGACAAAGTTCATCCCAGCACCCAGGAACCTGAAGACCCTTGCTCAATCAAAATTCCTGCCGGTATCAGTTAATAACTTTGGATGGCAATGAGGATTTTAAAAATATAACTGCAAAAACTAGAATTTAAGGAGCTCCATGTGTCTGAGCCAAATACCACTGTGCTCCACTGATTGAAAAGATGATGAGAAAGGAAAACAGAACTTATTTCATGTATAGTCTTGTTAACACTCCAGCTGCAGCTTTGAGCTGACATTTTCCAGGTGAACTAAACACACATTACTGTTCTTTTCTAAGTGTTCTTATTATTAGCATATAGAATAGCATAAGTTATTTGATTCTCAAAAAGTAATAAGTGTGGAGCTGTATTTGCATCTCAGCACTAGTATAAACTCAGCACTTTTAAAGTTTTGACCAAATCTGATAACATACATAGATATTTTACTGCTAATGCTTTTGAGTTGTTTCTGGGATGACTCAAGTCCCTCACTCAAATGAGAAGTAGAGAGTCTACATAAATTTATAACAGCTTCTCTAAACAAACAGCACAATAGTACTAACTTTAGCTACAAATATTATTGCTAGGAATTCTAAGAGCTCTAATGAGATGCTCTCAATGCATGAAATTAAAAATATACCCTGTAACCTTTGCAGAACAGTCTGTTTTCATCTCTGCCTTTTCCTGGGTCTATTTTAGTGCGTGGGTGGTGCAGCATTACTTTTAAGAAAAGCTAGTCCTGTAAACAGGAGAACAAATTAATTCCTGAACATTCTTATGATCTCAGAGGAGTGACATTTAAGATACAACTAATCCAGGATTTTTCAATCTTGGTATAAAATACCTATCATTGTCCTCCTAGAAGAATTTCAGGAACAGTTTTTTTTTTTTTAACATAAACCATCCAATTTCAGTGTAACATATATCAATGTTAAACTACTAAGTACAAATAATACTCGTATTTAAGAATTATCCCTTTGGGTGACTCCCTCTGCTGCATTCTACTTATCATAACGTATCATTAGAGTGTTAATGTACTGGACTCATTTGTAAGTACCAAGGATTTGAAGATACAGTTTCATCTTTACTTTCAAATCTTTTCCCCAATGTTACAAATGAGCAAACTTGTCAACACAGTAAAAACCTCCCAAAGAGCAAAGAGTAAGGTGGGTATATGCAGCAGTCTTGCACTGACAGCTCCTTGAGGGTCAGCATCTGTTCCTTACACAAAGGATTAACACACAGAGCATGTTCTACTTCCTTGCTTAAGAAATAGGAAAGCCTAACAATCTCCAACTGCTAGGCCTCCAAAAAACCAAAACTGAAGAAAATCGGAACTAAAGGTTTAAACTTAGGTGCTGTCACAGTACAGTGATGACAGTCACAATCCAGCTGTAGTCTTTACCTGTCATATGTAACATGTACAACTTTGGGGTAGGGTTCAGAGAAGAATGCTAAGCACAGAGTAAAGGAAGAATGATAGAAGCCAAGGTACAGCAAGCTTCCTGACCAATTCTGGCAACAAACTTTTGTTCTGCTCTGACATTAGTATCAAAGCTTCCTCCCAAACCACTGGAAAATGTCCGTTTTCATAAGCAGAGCATGGACTCTGGGGATCTCTCGCTAAAGGGACCATCTGAGCACACTTCACAGTACGCAAAAACACAAACCAAATGTTAAAAGTCAAAAGAGAATGCTTACAGTGGGGATTTTGTAATCCTGGGGAAATAATAAAAAGGTTTGAAGGTCCACACACAGTTTAGCCCTAAGCTTGATATTCACCAAGATTTACTGGCATGCCTAAGAACCACTGGGAACCCCTCAGTGGAACAGCACAGGCTGTTTCATGCATGTCTTGGACCTAGTTACACACTGATGAAAGCCAATCTGGAGAACAACAATGGGTAAGAAACAGGAGAGGGATCGGTGTCCCAAACTAAGTAAGGGTGGGAATGTAAAACATAGGGAAAATTCTCTTAAGTCTGGAGCTTTACTTTTCCAAGAAGAGTTGCCAAGGACTCCGACATTCTGAAGATGAAGTGAATTTCACTCCTAACATGGGCTTGCATCCTTCTGCACTGGAAACAAATCAGCAACAGAGTTGTACAAGAGCAAATATTGACATTGCACTGCTGAAGTTCTTTTTCTGGCAAACAACTGGATTTGCTAAAAGTCAGTCATTTTCCAAAATCACTAATGCATTTTTTTTGTTTTCAGGTCAGTGACACTGTGTCCACATGTGTGTATGCAAGCGTGAAAAGTTCCTTTTACTAGGCTGAAGCTCTAAGATGAATTTGCAGCCATATAGCACTGAGTTTAACTACCATGTTTGCATGTACTGTTGCATGTGAAACGCAATGTATAATCTAGTTCTCCTTTGTCTTTAGGTGTAGGCTACGCAGTGATACTCATAGCCCTTTATGTGGGTTTCTACTACAACGTTATCATAGCTTGGTCTCTGTATTATCTGTTTTCATCATTCACATTTGAGCTTCCATGGACAAACTGTGACAACAGTTGGAACAGTCCAAACTGTACGGATCCCAAACTCTTCAATGCATCAGTGCTTGGCAATGGTACCAAATACTCAAAGTACAAGCTCACTCCTGCAGCTGAATTTTATGAGTAAGTGTTGACTTTGCTATTTATTCACAATTCTATGTTTAAGAGTGTTTCCTCTGGAAAGTAAAATAGCTTAGCACCCAGCCCCTAGAATATGCATTACAAGACTAATGTTAAAATGCAGTTGTAATGTTGATCTCTGTTCCTGTGTGGTTAAGACTCTTACCTCTACAAGCTTTGATTTCTCCTGTGCAAATACAACACTTGCCACTGTGCAAAATGGAATTGGACAAAAGACACAAACTGGCTTGCACCAGCTTTACTAGGTTTCATAAACACAGCAATATTCTAACGGACAACTGCCCACCAAACTGAGCTGACTTTAAGGCTTTAAAATAATCATTTGTTCCGCAGACTTAGCCTGTTTCTCTACTCATAAAATACCTCAGAGCAGACCTGTTTGCTCAGCTGCTTCAACAGTTCAATGAAGTAAGATGAAGCACTGAGCAGGAGAGCACCACAGTTGTAGAAAGACAGGCTTTTTCTCATTCCTAAGCAAAAAAGAATTCTGCTATATGTGCCAAAACAGACAAGGGCACACTCAAGTCAGACACTTGGAATCAAAACTCCAAAGGTATATAAAGTAACAACGAAACTATAAGGCAAAAGTATTGATCTGTGTATAAATAACTGCATTACAGACCTCCAGGGGAAAATGGGATTTGATTAGGATAAAGAAAGGAGAATTGGCATCAGGCTAATTGAATCTGCTATTGAATTAATCCAAATAATCAATATTTCTGTGTTAGGAATAGAAGGATATCAGGGCACACACCTGCTGAGCAGTGAATCCAGCCCTGTGGAAACCAAGGGACACCACTGTTACCACAAATACCCTTGTGTGTTAACACCATGCCTGGCTACAGTAGGGATCTTGAGGTCTGTGTTTATAGCTCTGAAACATTCATAGCTGCTATTTCTCCTCTGAAGACAACACAGTGAAATATCAGTAGTGATGCACAAACCGTTGGCAAGGGTTTGGCTAAACTAAACTCAGTGCTTTGAGAACAAGAAGGGGAGTTGAGTTCAAAGGAACTGATTACAATGGCAAATGATGACAGCTAGGAAACCTGCTGCCCTTACAAAGACAATATATGCTGTGTTCAGAACTCCAGTGTAAAGCTAGATCATTTACAGCAAAAAGCTAGATACACATGCAGTCAGTGACAGAACCTGACTTCGAAGTGAACGGTAAGAAGTTTTGCGTTCAGCATCTTCAAACAAAGAACTCTGTTGTTAGAGAACTTCCATATGAATAGAATTTAAAAAAAAAAGAAAGGTTTTCTTTACAACTTCCTTGTGTTTAAGCCTTTGTAAAGCAAAATGGAACCCCTATATTGTTGCTTTGCTTCTTTATGATTTCAAGTGGTTCTATGCATTTCCTGTTATCACACCATGCTTGGGGTATGATTGTGACTTTGTAGGGGGTGAAGTTGTTTCACAATGTTGTGATTTATTTCCAAAGCTCAAGTTGTGATTGTCTGTACACCAAAATTTGAAATATTTTGGTTCTTTCCTCACCATGAAATAGATTCAAGGTGCAGTTTTCATAAGGTAAGAATAAAAAGGGAATTGAACATTTCATTATACTTCGGATCCCTGAATTTTGGGGCCATAATTAACTTCAGAGGCCTTGTACTTATTAACAACTAGATTATATTGCAAAAATGAGAAGAATAACCACTCACATAACAGAGTCTGTAAAATCTGCTTTCCCAGCTGTAAAAACAGGGAATCACAAGGGGCATTATGGTCATGTATCCAGTATTTGGATTAGCTCACCAAGTCCATCTGGACAGCTCAGGTGTGGACCCAAACTTGCGCAAAGTTTTAGCGTATTCAGATCCAACCTAATAAAGACAGCCCAATTCAGGAAACAGTGTTTCTTCTCTTACATTGAATAACCTCACTTGTTCCCATGGTCTTTTTACAACAAGGAGAGCTGAATCTTCTGATTATAAAGTTTCATGCAATGTGCAACAGGGTCAGGAAATAGAAGTGACAAAATTAAATTTGCATCAATATAGTGGGTTTACAAAATGATGCACCTTTTTTGGATGCAGAATTGCTAGGTAACAGTTCAGACAAGGGTCTTGATTGGCTACATGTCCTCTGAAAACCTCTGCAAGTAGAGGCTGAATACTCCTCTAAGAATATCATGTGTCCTTATGCCATATTGCACTACTGCTTGAACAACTGCTGAACTTGGCCCAAGTGTTTGTGTAGGACTCACACCTAATTCTTCCTAGTAGACAGCCATTAGTCACCTCTCAATAAACAAACCTTTACCAGAGGAGAACTACAGTTCCTGATGGAATAGTTCACTTTAGGTTAGTCTGTTCCTAAGAGCCAGAAATCCCTAATTATAGACTGCATAAGTAATCAATCCTTCCTCAGTAATACTGTGGATGAATAAAAGTTTTTAAGTAACAGCATCATGAAGACACTGGTTTCCAAATTCTATGACCATGTTTACTTTCTAAGGTCCGTACTGCTATCCAGTGGTGTAGGATATTAGCAAAAACAGCAACAAAACTTTTTTGGGCAATAAATTTCATATGACTGATTTCAGATTTTGAGTTTTGATCAGCTGTATAGTGAAACAAGCAATAGAGCAGCTACTTTATACCAGAGGGAAATTAAACTATGCCTCTTAGACTTCCACAGGATAACTATGGAAGCCCAGCTTATGCACTAACATAACAAGGTATGATAATTAGTATTATTAAAACAGGGATTGTAAACAGCATTAGGACTGATGCCCACTGTAAAAATGTCATAGAAAGGGAGGGATTTTGTCAGTAGAGGTGAAAAGTTCCATTATTCTCTTCAGTACTACCAAGGCATACAAGAGACCACACAGTTTGGAGTATCTGGGGCCATGTTTTCAACCACAGTAGCTAGTGCAAAAAGAACTTGCTGCTCTGTGTTACTGGGATGCAGCGCAGATTATGGAAAACATGTTAAGGATGCTAAATGTGCCCAAGCACTTCAGCCTTTAGCCTCAAGACTACATGTAAAGTGGCAAAGCTTGAACATGGTTCTCTAGGTTGTGCATCTGCATCAAGAACATATGCAAGGTTTTGCCTTCTGGTGGGCAGGGACACCAGAAACACCAAACATCTGTTTTGCAGCTGGAGAATGACTGAAACGAGGTACTTCCAAAACAGCTCACAAGCAGAAAGCTGTTGTGTTTACCCTTAAGAGAAACACACACTCCTTGTTTTTGAGACATGGTTCCTTCAGACAAAGCTGGCGTGGCCATGCATTTGGAGTAGATTATTTCCTAAGACAGCTGCCAGAGCTGTCTGTGTCTCTACCAGAACAGGAATAAACTGCAGGAAGAGGTGAGAGTACTGCGATGTGATAGGTAATCTAACACTTCAAGAAGGGCAGCCCTAAGTGCAACAGAAATACACTGATTCTCACCGCATATGCTGAGTGAGAGAGGGGAAAACTTGCTAAGAATCTAGGCTAAATCTTTCATTTGGTGGGGAGAGAAAGCAGAGAGAAGCCTCTAAGCCTCAGACATGGAAGAAACCACTTGAAATTGCAATTACAATGCCAAGGTAGTGACAGTCAGACTTTGACCAACATATGTGGCTTGTTTTCAAGCCTTAAGAGTTGGGCAATAATTCAGGTTGAAGTGGTTCTACACTTAAGCTTCCTAGAATGTTTCATTTTACTAAGTCTCGTTTCAGTTGTTCAGGCTTATTTAGGCCAAGGTGCCACTGATGTCAATGGCACAGTTACTTATAACAGGAAGGGAGGGATATAAAAGGATGGGACCTCTACAATAAATACCTCATTAGAGATGGTTAAAATCAATTATAGTGTGTTTTTACACTGAAAACTTAGCAAAGCTAGCCCTCCAAAAACTGATAACTGGTGCCCTTATGCTAGTAATGGTCAATCATAAAAGAAATCCAGTTAGGAATAAAATGTCAATTCCACGTTTCTATGGAAATGCACGTTAATTACTTCCCTCTACAGTGGTTTGGAATTAATCACAAAAAATGCAAGCACCTTCTACCCTTTCAACATATGTTAAAATAATTTTTTTAAAGAACGCAAGTGCATCACTGCAAAAAACGTTCCCCTGTCTACTCCGTATCACTCCTACTTAAACATTTTACTGGAATACAGGCAAACTTTATATTTGTTCTCTCCATTCTTGTGTCTGGGAAAAGTTTGTTACCATCTTGCTTTCATTTACAATGACAATTAAAAAATACAAGTTTGGAGGAACAAAAGCACTGTTCTTCTCACGAGGTACTGTGCCTGTAAAACATCATGATCTGTTGCAGGAACAAAGCCTAGCAATTTTTAAACAAAACAGTGAAATTGTCAACAAACATACTGAGCTATGGCTATTTTCCTCTGATAGTACTTTTTTCTCAGGGCTGTAATCCTTCCTTTTCTGCGTAAGAAACAAACCATAGTTATACAGAGAAATTTTTGTGCCAGGTACAGTAAGGGAAATTCACAGAATTTTAAGTCTGCTTAGCTGTGATTAAGTGCAAAAAGCTACCTAAGAAAATTATGTTTAGTCACAGCAGCTTATATCTATCATATTTGTGAACATAAGTTTATGACAAGCATGCAAACCAAGAACAGACTGGAAAAATCCTTACCCTATACAGCAAAAGTTACTTCTATAGACTAGTAAATTTGTGCTTTGGGGTATAGAGACCTCACCAAAAATGCCACCATAGACCAAAGGGTCTGCATAGTTCAGTAGCACACCAAATGGAGTGAACAACGCTGTGCTTCAAAGGAAGACTGCAGGAATCTATCCCCATAAAACAACTGTGAAGCAACCTCCCCCAAAAGAGGGAAAACACCACTTCAGAAGTAAGCACAAGCAATTCTGCCTATAAATGCTTATAGAAACTGAATCAGACAACAAGAACTAATCTGAGTGGATAGGCCTATATTCTACCCTGTAAAGTAACTGAAGAGTTTGAAAGCAATGAGAAATTAAGAACCTCTCTAGACATCTA